AAAGCGGGCCCCGCCGATCCGCAATGGCAGGTACCTATGAAAGATAAATACAACGCGGCGTTTTTCTCACTAAGGGGTCACATTCCAGGCGGGTTCCCCCCTGCCGTTATTTCTGTGCCTCCCAGAAGGAAAGCAAGAAAGAAAAATAAAATAAAATATAAATGCGATGGTAGCCATTTTGCACCACTGTTTTCGCGGTGTGGCTTTTAAAATGTTTTAGAGCCGTAGCCCTGATCGCGCTTCCTTGCAAACAAAAGAGCCTCGATGCATCTACATGTACAGGGCTTCACACGCACACTCACACACTCATAATATATATATATAATGTATATAGTAGTCAGTATTTTACTGCGCTCATTTTACTTAAACAGAACTCGGAATTGAAACATTTTGTCGCAGTTGCTGATCTTTAGGGGGTTTTTTTAGGTGTTAGGGAACGCGAATGTGAATTAAGATACCACAAAAGCGGGGAAAAACCTCCCCGAGTCAATATGACAGACACTTTAATTCAAAAATAATAATAATAATAATAATAATAATCAAGCCCACGAATCCCCAATGCAAGAAATGCAAGAAAGGTAGTGCATAATTCAAAGTAAAGTCCCCCCATGTAGCTCCCCGAAATCTCGGTGTGAGCCCAGCAGGAACCACAGAAATTCGCCTGCCTTAAAACCTCTTCGATCGCTTGTCCAAAAGTTTAATGCCGAGTCTTTAATATCAGTAGTGCAGATTAGAGGCAGTTTAGCGGCATTTATAAATCTCCCTGCGATTCATCTTTGCTTTAACAGCAAATTCATAGTCGGGTTTTTGCACAACGATTTTTTTTTGAGAAAATTTCTTCTTCTTTTTTTTTGCAATCTAAATACATTAAATACATGTTAAGCTTTTTTTCTCCTACAAGCCATAAACTGCCTAACACATCAGGAGAATGTCCGATGTAGCAGGAACTAGCGAAATTGTAAAACCAAGATTTTCTACAATCTCTTGTGTTTCTACGATAAGAAAAATCCTAATGAAAAATAAAAATCCCTCACTTATCTGTTCTGACACAGACACGCATCCGCACACAGATGTTCACCTCAAATATTTTAAAATCTGGTCCATTTCTCAAATACTTCAAGGAAAGCTATCTATGCTTTGGAGGGCTGGTTATATATATACACGGCATAGCTCGAAACTTAGACTTCTACATACATTAAAGAAAGCCACAGTTGTTTGCAAATGTGCATCTTTTATCCAAGCCTTTGGGGAATTAATAGACTATGACAAGCCTATGGGATTTTAGTAGCAGAAGGAACACAGGTAAATAATAATAAAAATAATAGTGAGCACTAAGGAAAGGCCTGGTAGCGTTTATTAAATATGACTCTACTCCCCTGACTTTTCCTCTGTTTCTTCGCTGCTGGGCTGTGCGGAATTTATGAATTTGTTTTCCTTTTTCCATTTCATCCGCCTGTTTTGAAACCATATTTTAATCTGGCGTTCAGTAAGGCAGAGAGCGTTTGCAATCTCAATACGTCGTCTTCTGGTTAAGTATCTGTTAAAATGAAATTCCTTCTCTAACTCTAGCGTTTGGTATCTGGTGTAAGTTTGCCTCCCTCGTCTCCCATGAGTTCCATATACTGTACCTGTAGAAGTAAAGACAAAATGATCGCATTGGACAGGGCCCAGTGATTTCAAACCAGAAAGCGCTTAGTATTTTCTGTTCTGCCTCCTCTTGCAGGCACCAGCGCACTGGGGGAGGGAGGGCTCTGGTTTTCTGCACTTTTTTTTCCCCTCCTTTTTCTCCTGCCTCGAGAGTAAACGCGGCCATGTATCGCGCTTAGGGTCGATGGGGTGACCCTGCACAAAGAGGCTGTGGGAGTAGCGGAGTAGGTAGCGCCCTTATAAACGGCCGAGCAGCGCGTAGCTCCATGCTGAGAGCCTGTGCGCGCACACGCTCGCACGCGCGCGGCTCTGTGCGTGTGTGCGGCCCGGGGAGATGCACGCGTGTGCGTGTGCGTGCGCGCAGGGATGTGCACGCGTGTGCGCACCCCAACCCCCTGCCACGCCATGGCTGTGAGAACAGAGGCTCTGCAATTTGGGTATCATTATAGACATCAGCTAAAGATCATAGAACAGCCTTGGCCATTTGCTCCGAATTTATTGCACTCAAATGCAAAGCAGCATCAGAATGGGCTTCCTAAAAGCTAAACTCCCCCCTCACACACACACACCCGCTGCCCCCCTGCCCTGGCCCCCCCAAAGCAACGCGACCCAGAACCCAGCAAACAGAAACCCTGGAGGAGGGGAGAGGAGGGGAGTCATTAGCAAGCACTGGAAGGCAACGTGCTAATGGGATTATTAAAAATAAGTGCCACTCCAATGTGATCCCCCCTCCCCGCTCCCCTCCCAGCCTCCCAGCACCACTCCTAGACAGAATAGCTCAATTATGTGAAGTTCACTTGGAAGTCAGGGAAAATCCGCGAGATGCCATGGAAGTGCACACTCGGCCCCAGAAACGTGCTCTCAATATCCAATACTCACTCGCTAATGAGCTGGGGGAGGGGGACCCCGAGGAATGTGCCACAAATGCACCGGCCCCTCAGTGCAGGGGGGGCTTATCCCTTACTCCGTTCCCTGACAAAAGCAGGGGCTGCAGAATGGGTTGAGAAGATGGGTGAAACTGTCCTGCTCCTGCAATTTATTTGTTATCCACGTATCTACGTATTTATCTATTTATCTGTCTATTTTCCCCCTGCTGCCTAAGGATTCCTCAGCTAAGTTTCGTCCACGAAGCCAGGATCTAGGGCTCCCGGCCACCGTTCCCAGGGTGTCCATGTGCCAGCTGCACAATAACCTGGGGGCCGGTTTCGGATTACCCTCTGCCTTGCGGGAGCCATTTCTTTCCTGCAGCCTGGACTTAATCTAAGACCCCCCCCCCTCCAAAAAAAAAAAAAAAAAAAAAGAGAGAGAGAGAGAAGGGGAAATCCCGGGGCAAGGAGCTTCCCCCCTCGCTTTGGCGCCCAGCACTTACCCGCAGAGGAGTTCATTCGCTGCATCCAGGGGTAAACAGGACTCGTGTACTTCCGGTCGGTGCCTTCGTCATGGACAATTTTGGCTTGCCCGCCGCTCGGTTTGTATTGCTGCTCGGGAGGAAAGTGCAGGTAGTCCCCGTGTCCCCTCTGCTTGCCACTGCCGGAGGGCGAGGCGCTACTAATGTCCTTGTCCGAATAAAAACAAGAGGCTCCGTACTCATAGGAAGCCCGATTGCAAGCAATGACGGTGTTGGACTGTTGGTAGAAACAAGGTGTGGTGTAAGTCTTGTCCTGCAGGCTGCTTGCCCCGTAAGACGCCGGAAAATGCCTCAGAGCATCATAGCCAGCCGGGTAAAGGGGGATCTGCCCGAGGAAAGAGTCCTGGCCACTGGGCAGGCTCCCAGAGAAAGTGGGATTCACGAAATAGGAACTCATTTGCTCGCCCCTCTCCCGGACCGTGATTTGTTGTGTATTAGTACATCTGGCTATAACTATTAGTAGTCATCGAAGTGGTTTGTTTCTGGATGGCCGAGCGCCAAAAGCGACAGCAGAAAATAGGAGCAGCTGACGGCGGGGCGGCCAATGGGAGCGCGAGAAAGTATCCATTGCTAGTGTATTTATGGCATATGCTTGCCCCCCTCCCCCCAGGCGGGGGGGAGGCGCCCCCGTGGGACCGTGCGGCCGCCGTGGGCAGGGCCCCGGCGCGGGAGGCGGTGATGGATGTTGCGGAGGGAAAGTTTGGAGCGGCGGGGGGAGGAGAACATGTGAACAGGGGGATGCAGCGCAGGGAAGGGGGGTAGCGCCCCTGGACGGGACGGATCACCCCCCCCGCCCCAACCCCACCTGGATGGCTCTGCGATGGCCCCTAAACTGAGGCTTCCCCCCGGAGCCCCGGCTGGGAAGGCAGCTTTCTTGCGCGGGGCGAAATTAAGGCTCATCCCGCGTGCAAGGGGGCTCCTATCTTCACGGACACTCCGATAATTGCCGTGGAGCTTAGGGTCGGAGTAGGAAACGGTGGCCTTCACAGGGGGGAATTTTTATTTTGTAAGATATGCCTGGAAAGGAGCCCCTCGGAAATGCTGGGCGAGGTCTCCGGCGCCCTCCGAGAGACTCCGATAAAGTTTCACGAGTCAGTTTCCACCAAGTTCCCCCACCAAATCGGTCTGCGTGTTTCAAGCGCTCAGTTCCAGACCCGAACCAGTAGGAATAGTCCTAATTCCTAATTAATACAGTGCCGCTAATGAGTCAGCAGAAGCCAATCGTTTTCGTTGTTGCTCCCAATAATTTGATTAAACACGGCCATGTTTCTTTAAGAGAGTGGGGCGAAAATCGCGAAACAAACATTTCCACGTTCATTTTTCAACATGGCAGTTACCCCATAGCGGAAATATAATTCCTGGCCCAGGGCAGAGACAGTAACAGTGCTGATGAAATTCGCCGAGATGCTTTTAATTCAGCCGTAACCCTGCAGTTCCTGGAGATAACATGAGATTGTTCACTCCAAGCTGTGTTTACTCCTAATACGTGCCCATTACAGCAGATTGAATAGCCTAATTTTAAACGTGCTCTGGTGGAAAGTGACTTTCGTACGAGCTCTGCTTCCTAAAGTAGGAATCTCTTTAAACAGTGACTTTTGTTGTTGTTGGAGGACTATTTATCTCATTTCCGGGGGCTGATTACGATACCTATAAAACAGTAGTGAGTTAAAACATCTCCCCACAATAGTTTGCATTGTTCACGGTCTCAGCTGGACTTTCACATTCAGATGTTGATTGCCTCCAATTTTTGTTTTTCAGCTTCCTTAACCCCTTCATCCAGGCAAAGCCATAAACACACCTGGTAGAATTACATCTCTCTAGCTGCGTGCTTTGGGAGGTCATTTAGGAAACGTGTATTTATTGAAAACCAGGCTTACCCGAAGAAGTTCTTTTTTTTTTCCTTTTAGCTCAGTGCAAATAGAGCTAGGAAAAAAAAGGGGGAAACAACAGCAAAAAAGCACACAAGACAGTAAATACAAAGCCATATTTCTGCGAGCAGATTTTCGACACCCCAGGTCAGAACGAAAATGTACCAGGAAAAATTAATACTCGAGGCATGTGAACCCATCGCCCAATACTTTCAAAAGTTGTGTTTGGGCGGGCTTTTGATTTAATCCATCACACACATATACACAAATAAAAAATCCCGAGCAGCTCAGTCGCATTCGCATTTTAGAGCATTGGCTACATATTGATTTGATTTTGTTTTTTTTTTTTTCCTTTTTTCTGCTTCTCTCTTTTAAGTTATTGTTTGTGTCGAAATCAGACTGTCGAAATCCTGACCACAGGCGGTGGAAACATTTCTTCGTTGACCTCACAATATTAAAAAGACTGAATTTTGCACATTTGCCTGCCTGGGTCGTGTTAGAGTTACAGTGACAGCTAAACAATCTGCAGTGCAATCTTCGCTTCAGTCACATCCATACATCCTCTGCGCTCCTCCCCCTACCAACAGAAAACCCCCGAATTACAATAATCTGCAACTCCAGAGCTCTGCCAGGGAAAATAAATAAATAAATAGCTGAATAAATAAATAAATAAAAAGCCAGAATGTCCTGGCTCGGCGCGTTTCGCAGCAGTTTTCCGTCACCGCTTCCCGCCGGAAAGCCCAAAGGCAGCCGCAGCCTTTTCCCCCTGCAACCTAGTCACACTCTTCGCAACACCGATTTATTTCATCCGCCTTTTATTTTTTTGCCCGCAGCGCCGAGAACGGAGCGCTGAGCGCCGCAGCGCCGGGCGCCGCGCTTTGCTCCGCGTCTCCCGCCACCCCCGGTACAGGTGCGGGGGCAGTTACCCTCTTAAGCTTAAAAGCCTCATTCTCCTCGCATATAAATCCACTTACAGATCCTTCTCATGCTCGGCAATGTCACAGAAAAAAAAGCTTTAAGTAATAGCTCCTAATCCAAACAGTTTGGGCAAGGAGAACCATTGTTTAGACTGCACTGGTATTAGGGACCTCACTGGGCGGGGGGCAAGGAGTGAGAGGGGGCAGAGTGTATCCTACCCGGCCAGTTCCCAGCGTGATATTTTACAGTTGACACTAAGGTAAAACCGGAGGGGAAGGGGAAGAGGGAAGAGTCAGCCTTGCCAGAATATCCTGCCCGTGAGCGAGCCGCGATGCTCCCTTAGCTAAAATAGGCCGATGAGGTTATTACCATTATTTTTTTTCTCTCATTTTAATATTTTTCGCGGCTGGGGACGATGCCTCGGGGAGCCCAACGGCTCGCGCCGCTGCCC